TAAAAAAAAAAAAAAAAAAAAAATCTAAAAATTTCAGTTTTATATAAGAAGTTCTATGTCACTTATGAATAAGTGAGTAAAATAAATGTTATTTTATATTTGTGATTTTTCATTCAAATATGTTAACCTTTATAAGGAGACTGAAATTTTAATAAATTTAATAAACGACGTAATTTTGACAAAAAAAGAAACTGTATTCATTGCGATTTATGTTCCTTATATTTTAAGTAATAGCAGCAACAAGAAAGAGAGGAAGAAGAAATGAATCATATGTTCATACATAAAAGCAGGAAATAAGATACCTTCATGCATAAAAGGAAAAGTAAAAAATACTATTACTAATATAATACTATTATTAATAATAAATAGTACTAATTTAACAATAAAATGCAGTGTCAGCAACATTAATAGTAATTTAATTACATTAAATTGACGCAGAATGACTTTTACATATGGATTTATTTTGATTTTTATTTTTGACAAGGTATATATGACTTTTATATTTGTATTAGATTTTAATAATTTGTGACTAGGTGAATATGACTTTTAGTTTTTGAATTTTTAAACAATGTTAAAATTTATATTTTTATTAGGATCAAAGATGGAATAACAGATATGAAGTCTAAGTTTATATACAGATTCTCGAATTTTAGTATTATGAATTTATGTAACGACAGTTTAACTTTTATGTAGATATATTGCTGTATCATTGAAAATGACACGATCGATGTCGAAACTTGTTTGATTTTGTTTTATTGTATCATCATATGAATTAAATTAATGTGTTAGATAAAATTGGCTCTACGCCCTATTTGCATTTTTATATTGTTTTAATTACATTGTTACGTTAAATTGCTCCATCAACAAAATATTTAACAATTTTGAAATCAGGATAAAAATACAAAAAACATTTCAAAACATGTATTATTGAAAGTCAGGGAATTTTAGGATGAAAAGTTTGTGGCAACCCTGTTAAAGCAGTGAATTTGTAAACAGTGTATGCATGGATGCAGTGGGGAAGGAGGGCTCCACTACTGTTAAAAATAACTTAACCTTTTTCTTGATAACGCAGGGAAATCCTTTATGGATTTTAATTAGTTTATTACGTAAAGGCAGACATTCATTAATACACCGCATATAAACAACAAGTGCTTTTATCTCAAGAAGAGATTTTATTTTACCGGCGACTTCGCGGTTGCACGATACACGTGTTATAAGGATAATTTTGATTTGGTTGTAATTATTAAGTGTGGTGGTGAATATTATATCCTTATTCATTGGATTAGCTGTGCCATCGCACACCGAGGGTCAAGGATACGGGCCTGTTTCAGACAACTTTCCTCGTTGGATGATGAAACGTGAATGAAGTGGCGGCCGATATACGTAGCCAAGTAGTACGTTTGCAATTATGAAAACGGTAATTAATTTCATTAATTTGAATAAAGGGCCGGTTACAGAGTACATTAAAGTCGAACGTCTTCGGTGACGTTTAGTAGAAGTCTGATATACGGTTGAAAGTTACAAATTCATACAACGGTCTGATCTCGTTTTCAGCTTAATTACTAGTTATTAGTCGAGATTTCGCAAGATCTCTTTATTTCCAAGGAAAAGGAAATACAGAAGGTCGCGGATGACGACCGTGACACGTTGAAAGATTGAAGATTATAAAGTCATAAGATCGCGGATGGTGTTCGTGACGTGACCTCGCGTTATAAAGTCTAAAAATGAAGTTAAATAAATAATATTCACGGTACGCGGATTGCTACTGTGGCAGATACACGCGTAATTGATTCAAAGATAAAGAGAAACACGCGTATTTCAAGTATCATTAATTTGAATTCGTTGAACAAAGAACTCGTCCGTTGTGAACGGCGAAGATAACCAAAAATGCCCATTAAATATGTGTTAAATTACAAATAAATATTGATTATCACGGACTATAAACCGTGTATTTATGCATGTGCATTAATTGCGTAAAAGCATGACTCTCATTGGCTATCGCTCGCCGCTTCACCGCTGCGCCGCTCTGGACAAGGAGAGATAAACGAAACTTGGGAAAGAGATATCGTCGGTTGAGCGCGAGGGCGCGTACCGATAAAGAAGGTCACAGAAAGCGTGGTATGTGGTAACTTAGTACGGAAACCAATCCGGAATCAACCAATAACAGGCCGAATACGCAAATAAGCGGGAATTAAGCGCGCGAAGAAGGAAATAAGCGCGAAACTAATGAGTACTTAACTGAACGATAAATAATCGATAAATAACCGGATTTTCAGGACTTTCAGGCGGGAGTGAAGCCCATGACACATAAGAAAAATGTAAGGCCGTAAACGTAATCAGTAAGCGAATTGACCAATCACAGTTGAGAACGTAGCGGCCGCAGCTTACGTTCTCAACTGTGATTGGTCAATTCGCTTACTGATTACGTTTACGGCCTTACGTTTTTCTATGTGCCATGGGTTTGACAGTGAATACCCGTAAACACTAAATAAAGCGTAGAAAATCGCGTAAACGAGTAAATAAAGCGCGAGTGACAGTGTTAAACATAAAAATTAAAGCGAATATCAAAATATCGCGTGAATAAATCGGATAATGCGCGAACGTCTAAAAATACAAAAAATTTTTTAGAGAAGAATAATAAACGATAGAATAGTTCCCCAAGTAAAGCGCAATTACAAAAAAAGTAAAAATTCAAATCGCGACGAAAGATATAGTGTCAGTGCTAAAACAAAAAATTATATAAGGAATAGTGATAAAAATAGTTTTGTGAAAAATGATAGTCGGGTGTTAGGCGAGGAGGAGACTTACCTTATTTACCTGCAGGTCTAGAATGGCAAGGAGGAGCTTTGACAACAAATCCTAAAAATCCGCTACCAATCTTTAAAAAAGAAAAGAGAGTTCATAAAGATTATATTAAAAGATGTAAAGTAGAATTTAAAGAAAGAATGTTAAAAAGAATTTGTAACAGTTACATTAATAAACGTAAAATTGAATGTAGAGAAAAGATTTTAACTAGAATTAAAAGACTTAACAAAAATGTCACGTTTAAATTAGAGATAACAATAATCCATGTTGGTTCCTACGCGAAGTAATAATAGAATAAATGTTTTAGATGATAGACAGTGCGACGAGGTAGAAAAAGTAGACCAAACAAGCGTTGCGACTCTTCCGAAAATGTCAGATAAAGAAGCTAGATGGAGCGAGAGCTCAATAATAACTATGCGGGAGGAAGAGGAAAGGTTGAGGAAATATATTAGGGAAAAGACTAGGAAGCGTAAAGCTATAGGAGCGCGAGCGAAGCGTGTCCAATTATTGCGTGAGTTTATCAACAATATGAGTCCAGTTGGCTCCGACGAAGAGGACGAAGATGAAGACTCGATGAAGAAAGCTGAAGAGGACATGAATAAGATGTTCAGCGAATATTCTTCCCAAAGGAATAAGCACCGCGGAACAATTATCCAAGAAACCTTGGTGGACAACTATAACGAATCAATAAGCGAGGTAACCGCATCCATATACATCCGTGATTTAAAGCAATATGGTAATCCAGAAAATCGTCCGTCGTACAGATTGATATTCGACGTTATAAATAACGAGGTACGAAGATACTTTCAAATAATTACTCCGCAGGAGGCGGACAATATGAAATCCTTGTGTAAAACTGATACCAGAGTATTAGGGGAGATTGCGAGTATACTAAACAAAATTATGGAGAAACAACAGGTCGAGCCGAAAACCATACAAACCTCAACACAACCACAAGAGGCGGCAACAACGACTTGCTCCACACCCAAGAGTCCAAACACACAGACAGCGATACCGAAGGTGATTCTAACTCCCACTCAAATTTCAACATCGGCAAAATGCCCAATTCATGGAAAAATGGAGGCTGTGATAGACTTAGCAAATAAAACCACACCGCCCAAGGACAGTCCAATGTACGACTTAGTGTCGTCATCTGAGGGCAAAGCCATCAATGATCGAGACGAGACTTATACGCAGACGATAAAAAAAATTAAATTACTCAATCCAAAGGAAATCAAGAAAAAAATGGGAAGGCCAAAGAAGGTTAAGCAGCCTAACCAATATACAAAGAAAAAAGACCAGGATTCTACTAAACAAGAGCCAAGGGTGACGTCAGTACAAACAATAACAAAATCAATACGCATAGGTAAGTGCTCACATTTTGCCCTCGCCAAAATATTCATAGGCGAGGAGTTTCCAACCACGTCTGTGAAACTAGCATATCATATATCAGCATCGTATAAAATGACACCAGTTCTACTCGCATTCACCATAGTTCTACAGTTCTATATCGGTTTTATCAATAGTTCTATCGAATTACGTCCAGAAAATCGATTTAAAATATGAGATGCCAACTTCCTGTTTTACTATCCAGCATCTCACCGGATTTCGAACGTATGAAGTGTAAAATACAAGAAACTAACGAGTTCTATCGTTAAAACTCAATACACCAATAGTTCTGGCCAAAAAACCAAATAAATTGGTCGAAAACGGTATATATTAACACGTACAGGTGATATGCTAGCCGAATGGCGACAGTTCTGTGAAAAATGCGGTACTTATCGTGTAGACCTGACTCTGCCCTGACGAGTTCCAAAGAGTTTTGATGAGAAAAATTATTTATTAATTTATTAATTTTTTAAACAATTTTCAATACCCGCAAAAAGGACACTTTTCATAGCATATGTGTGATATGCTGGCCGATTAGTGACAGTTCTGAGAAGTTTATGGTACTTATCGTGTAGATCTGACTATACCCTAACGACTTCTGAAGAGAAAAATTATTTATTAATTTTTTAAACAATTTTCAATACCCGAAAAGGGCACTTTTCAGAGTATGTGTGATATGCTGACCGATTGGTGATAGTTCTGAAAGGTTTATGGTATTTATCGTGTAGATCTGACTCTGCCCTAACGAGTTCCGAAGAGTTCTGATGAGAAAAATTATTTATTAATTTTTTAAACAACTTTAAATACCCGAAAAAGGCACTTTTCATACCATATGTGTGATATGCTGGCCGATTGGGGACAGTTCTGTGAGAAATGCCCGTACTTATCGTGTAGATCTGACTGTGCCCTAACGAGTTCCGAAGAGTTCTGATGATAAAAATTATTCATTAATTTTTTAAACAATTTTTAACACCCGTAAATTGCAGTTTTCAGGGCATATATGTGATATGCTGACTGTTTTGTAAGATTTCTGATTATTTCATTATAGTTTTAATATGATAGATCTGTTGTGATTTTTGCGCTTTCTCTTAAAAATTCTGATAATATGCATAATTTTTTAATACCATTTTTCGATTGTTACTTACGTATACGTGCAGGTGGTATGCTCTCCGTTTCTTAAGTTTCCTGATTTCTACGTCTTAGTTCTAAAGTATACTTACAATGTCGTAATTTGAGGGCCTTTAGTCTTACTCTTGGCGTGACCCGGAATCAACGACGGGGACGTGGTAAGATTTGAATCCATGTTTTTCTTCACTATTTTCTTTTTATATTTTTTGTTTTTTTTTTACATGATAAGAACCATAAACTTTTCAGAACTATTACCAATCGGTCAGCATATCACACATATGCTCTGAAATGGCATCTTTCGGGTATTGAAAATTGCTAAAAAAATTAATAAATAATTTTCATCATCAGAACTCTTCGGAACTCGTTAGGGCACAGTTAGATCTACACGATAAGTACCGCATTTCTCACAGAACTGTCACCAATCGGCCAGCATATCACACATATGCTATGAAAAGTGCCTTTTTCGGGTATTTAAAGTTGTTTAAAAAATTAATAAATAATTTTTCTCATCAGAACTCTTCGGAACTCGTTAGGGCATAGTCAGATCTACACGATAAGTACCATAAACTTCTCAGAACTGTCACCAATCGGTCAGCATATCACACATATGCTATGAAAAGTGCCTTTTTCGGGGATTTAAAGTTGTTTAAAAAATTAATAAATAATTTTTCTCATCAGAACTCTTTAGAACTCGTTAGGGCATAGTCAGATTTACACGATAAGTACCGCATTTTTCACAGAACTGTCGCCATTCGGCTAGCATATCACCTGTACGTGTTAATATATACCGTTTTCGAGCAATTTATTTGGTTTTTTGGCCAGAACTATTGGTGTATTGAGTTTTAACGATAGAACTCTTTGGCTTCTTGTATTTTACACCTCATACGTTCGAAATCCGGTGAGATGCTGGATGGTAAGACGGGAAGTTGGCATCTCATATTTTAAATCGATTTTCTGAACGTAATTCGATAGAACTCTATTGATAAAACCGATATAGAACTGTAGAACTAAGGTGGATGCGAGCAGAACTGGTGTCATTTTATGCGATGCTGATATATGATATGCTAGCTTCACAGACGTTTTGCAACCGCATTCGAAAAATCCGACGTCTGGTTGCGATACGTCTCTTGATTTTAAGAGTGTATAATTAATGATGATATTATATAGACGGCTGAGAATACACGGATGACGCTAGAAGTTCTGAGGAAGGTGATGGTGGTCGAGGGATCTGGACCAGTCGCAGCAGAGGGGGTGCCACAGTAGCTTGCCCAAGAAGAGTCCTCCAATACCCAGTAGAATCTACCTGAAATAGAAAGAAAATAAGTTAAAAATGTATAAAGTAGAGTTAAGTTACGATTAAGTTTTATTCCCTGAAATTATGATTAAGATGTACTTAATATATATATTTATGATGAAAATATATTAAGTAATAGCTCTTATAGCTGAAATATGAAAAGTATGATTTTATAAAATTTTTACGTTTAATCAGTAGCTATTCAGAATTTTGTTACGTTAGTACCCTAAGTAGGGACATTTATATAAGCTCGAACGAGCATGTCAAAAAGAATTAAAAGTATATTTGTTTTGTAAGAATCCTAATTATTTTTTCCTAGCGCTAAGACATAGATAGATCACCGACATACGGGCAGATACGAGCTTCCAGTAGCTCAATATACCTAAGTAAAGTGTAAATATGTATTATAAGTTTTTTAATAGTTTATTTGCATTCACACACACATAGGAGCGCTAGTTAAACATCTGGACACAAGTAAGAATCACGTCCAGACATTTTTCAGCTCAGGAGAGCTCAAGTAATATTTAGTATGAGTTTGCTTAACAGTTTGAGTAGTTTATTTAATCGCGGGAACACGAAGTAAATATTTATAAAGGGTCGTGTCTTCTCTCGAGCTAAGTTCAGCTCGCTAGAGCTAAGTTCGATTCAATCGAAGTTCTAATAATTTATTTAATAGATACGTAGATGAACTTTAGAAGTTCATCTAACAAGTTGCGAGGTGATAGAAGTTCGCGATGACGAATTAAAAGTAAGGTCAGTTTTAGTTTTTTGTACAAAAACCAGGATCGCTGGAGACAGATGACAAATATATATATATCTGCCACAAAATTTTTTATATATATATCTGTCATAAAATTAACAATGTATTAAAAAATATTATTTTTAGCACAGGGTGAAACATAAGTGAAATTAGAGTAAGATAGCATTAAAAGTTGCGAAAATTCGATGAAAAATAGTTTCCGGCAAAAAAGTAGTATATTCAGGCATATTCCATGTAAAAGGCTCACGTTTCACTTAAAACGCCAATTTAATTATTAATTTTCAGTTATATTTTATATCCAGGGCGTACTTTGTGTAATTTTGTAATTTTAAGATTAAGAAAAGTAAAATCAGTCGTTAGAAGGCATATCTCTATTAAAAATAATAATTCGGTTTTGAAAAGCCATTAAAAGGCAATAATTGATAAAAGTTAATATAAAGTAGTAATTAATTGAATTAAATAATTTTCCTTCTAACGTCGTTTAAAGATGGACCTTCTCCGTGGTCCGCGTGTTTGTAAAAGCAGTCACAGTATAAGTACATAGGTACTACAGTAGAGGTTCACTCAGGCTAAAATCCGCGAAATGATTGTCACTCGCGCATGACGGAAATGCACACTCAATAATATGGCGGCTTATAGGAATTCTCGTCTGTTCAACATAGGTCGACACGGGGGGAGTTCCGCAGAACTGCGATCAAGAATCACTCGACCGCGGCGGACGCGTTTCGGATCAGGTGCATTTTTGAAAGTGTTGCCGACTTTGATTGAGCAATTGAACCTCAACGATGTGTGTCCGCGGATGGGTTCGTCTCGGTTGTTCCTCTTTTTGGCGGCAGGACTCCTGACACGCGGTTTTGCGATGTGACGACACCGTAGACGCAGGCGTCCGGTGTCCTATCGAGTAACGCCATTTTCGCGGGCATTGCATCACCCGCATCGTACCCATTAAAGGTACAATTTCATGCAGCGAAGCTTCGCTGGCGATGACCCCCACTCGCCGATTCCACATAGCTAGCGAAGAAAGAAGTTCAACATTGTTGAACTTTGAGCGAAGCAACGCTGCACGCCATAAATGAGAAATACTACATATAATTTATTTTGACTATTTTATTAAAACTTGATTGTACTGCCATGGCCATCACTCCAGCATCCACTTCAACGTTTTATGAAAGTTTTCAAATTTTTTATTAATAATTCTCGGCATCTGTTGCTAACCGACTGTAAAAAAATAACTTTTCACAAGAACCAAGTTTTCGATATTTCTAATAGATTACAGGTTTCTTGCAATGTGTGTACACATAATCAGTTTCATACGTCCGATAATGAGCGATGTGATTCTTAATAATTGCATAATTAATAAATTTATCATAAATCTGTTTCCTTTCTTTCGAAAATCGGAAATGCGAACATAATTACATCGATATTCATTCACGTTCTGCATTGTTTTATCGAATCAGAGAATTCTCTCGTAGAATAAGAGATAACGCTTGACTTTGTAGCACAGTAGTGGGGATAGCTTCGCCAGCGAAGCTTCGCTACATGAAAAGGATACGGGGCTTCAGCGAAGAGCGAAGAACGCTGACTTCGTTTATGCTGCGTTCGGAAATATCACTCGAGTACCCCCGTGTATCGTTTCATCCTTGTTTGACATTGAATGAATAACAAGGATAAGACGATACACGGGGGTACTCGAGTGATATTTCCGAACGCAGCATTATACGGCGGAGTGGGGGGTTTTCGCCAGCGAAGCTTCGCTGCATGAAATAGTACCTGTAGACGAAAGACTATTTGACGTGATCAGGCCGTATTGCCTCACGGATATAGGAAAGTAGGGATACAGTGTGAAGTAGACGACATAGCGAGGGGAGTGAAGCCGAAAATCCGGAAGGGGAATCATGTTCATTACTATCACGAGTAACGTGATCTATCGGTGATTGCCATTACTTATGTATCCAACTACACCTTACACTGCGAAAAAAGGTTTTGTGATCATAATAAAAGTTGGTTGAAATACACTCAAAAAAGTCTTTAATTATTACAACGAATTATTAATTATTACAAAGAAATATTTTGTAAGAACAACTAATTTTTTCTTATTAATTAACAAAGAATAATTTAATTGCTCTTACTAATTTTTTAAAAAAGAGGAGGTGGCCTTCATATCTTTTTAGCGCCTCCACCGAGAAAAGAAACAAGGCGACCAATACATGTTCCCCTCCGAACCAAACAATTTCTTCCTTAGACATTTTCGCGTATCATTAACGGTAACAGAGATATTGCCTTGTAACAGAGTTACTGGGACACCCTTGTATATTATCTTAGATATTAATTTTACTAAAAATAATACTTTAAAATATACAAAACAAAAAGTAAATAAATATAAATTATTCGTTGAAATATAAAGCTTTATGAATAAAATTATAATGGATAATAATAAGTATAAATATTTATGTATAATAAATATAAATGAGCATGACACGCTTTTGAGGCTTTCACGAGTATTTTCTTCAATTATACCAAAAGGTTTGCGGGTTATCGCCGTGTCTTTCTTCATTATTAAGCCAACGTTTCGTGAACCATATCGTTCACTTCATCAGGGCGAGGGGTGCGCAGTATCAATTCACGAAACGTTGGCATTAATAATGAAGAAAGACACGGCGATAACCCGCAAACCTTCTGGTATAATAAGCATGACACATTACCACATAACCACATTTAACACAACGATTGACAATTTTTGAATAAGTTTTCTCACTTTTGCCGAAAGGGCGCGCAGCAAGTGAGGGTAATGAATACCATCTCTTTGCCCCTGACGGCTTCACCCCCGCAAGAATAAGCTGTATCCCTACTTTCCTATATCCGTGTATTGCCTCCGCTCGTGTAAGGAGGCTGGAGCCATTAACAAAGAAGAAGAAGAAGAAGGTCGACACAGGTCGACAGGTCGTCAGCATGCGGAATAATTCGGCGTACAGCGGTACAGTAACTTTGAACTTAGATAAATTAAAGATAATAATCTTTATAAATAAATTACGAATTTTGTTTGATAAATCTGTGATAAAATGATTAAAATACCGGATTTAGAAACTATAAATATAAACGATTGTGAATAAGATTATGTTTTGTCCCCTCCCCCTCGACCATGAAAGACAAATAATTTACAATTTATACATAAAATATGAAGAACAGAAGCGGATATTCGTGTGCGTTTAAAAATTGTGAAAGTACAAGTACTGAATGGAGGCGAAAGGAAACATTATTTAGATTTCCGAAAGATATAAGAAGGTAGTGCTATCTTATAGTGTACATTTCTTATTTTTATACTTAGATATGAAAAATCAGATTAATTGTGTTCTCTTAAAAGTATATCATTACAATAAATACAATCCGATACAATTGCATAAAACGTAGTTCGTGAATGTAGTTGTAGTTGTAGATTAGTATTCAAATTGTCCGCGCTGCACACTATCAATATTATGACCGACCATTTCTCTTCAGATCAAAGGTACCGACACAGAATCGACCTATTGTATGTATACTTATACTGTGAAGCAGTTGTAAGTGACGGCGTAGTGAGAACACATATGTTAAATTGCGTAGAAACAATGGATAATCAAAGTGCGAATTGCGATTCGAGTAATAAACGCGATAGAGAACGCGAATTGATAGATATAATAGAAAATAGAGCTAAGAAACGTGAAAATAAGAAATCGCGAGAAGAGAGGATCCAGATAATGGAAGATTTCATAAACAACATGAGTTCGGATACTTCGGATTCCGAGATGGACGACGAACAAGGAAGAATGGAAGACCGGATGAAGACAGCAATCCAAACATATATTGCGGCGGGTAAAAGAACAAAAAGTAAATCCGTAAAAAAGGTAATGAGCAATCATCAAGGCGAACCCATATGTCAAATATATTCAATGATTCAAGTAAAGGATCTGAGTTCGAATGAAGAAGCGACCAAGCGACCATACTACAGAGTGACGATAGATGTCATGGACAATAATATAAAACATTGTATTAGTCAACAGATTTTGAATCAAACAAACAGACGGTCCACTATGTTTTTTATAAAGATGCATTCAACCGAAACGATAGTAGACACAACGAAAGTATCGACTCAATCGGTAGTAAAAGTGCCGGAACCACAACAGAAAGTACAAACAATTGCACCCAGTGCATCAACCAATAATACCGACGACATTACGGGTGGTGCTGAATCCATTAGCGAAACAAATACCAGGCAGTCAATCCAATAATAGGCCATATTGCAAGAACCCTCACAGGAACCGTGCCTCTTATTTAAGTAGGTTGTATTAAGATAAGTTTGCTCTATCTTTCACTGCGTGAAAGATCCCTGATAGCCACCTGTCTGTGTTGTTGCTGACATGTTGCCGAAAATAAAGCGCATTTGTTTTCAGCAAATTTAAAACAAGGTGAGTGAGTCATTTGCCTGTGGTATGTACGACATCACGTGAATTCAACATGTGTTGCTGCCACCTTGCCGTGTATTTGCCATCAACGATTTATCGCTGTACGTAAAGAGCAATATAACAGTAAATTGTCAACAACATGTGTTCAGTCATACATTTCAGCAAAAATGCAACATGTCGAAAACGATTTTTTTTTTGCACTAGGGTGTTTACGACAAATGGTCGGATTTCTATCCGATCGAACAGTGGTAATCAATTGGTGCATTTCAAAACACTCTCTAGCTTAATCGGATTTTGGTGCCTGTCTGAGGAGGTAATCAGATTGAGTTGAACGGATCGTGAGGGAGGAATAATTTTGCGAATTTGCGTATGAACTTAATAAAAGCCGAATGCATAAAGACAAAGATCGAGGTACATACGTTAACTATTATTCTAATAATTATTGTGTATTTTATTCTAAAATGTATATCAATAATGGAAATATGTATAGTTTAGTAAAAGAATTTTAGAAAAGTAAATATAATCTCACTTTATTAATAAAGTGAGATTATATTTACTTTCCCGAAATTCTTTTATTAATAAAGTTTTCCAAATTTCTTTATTAGTAAAGTGAGATTATATTTACTTTTTCAAAATTCTTTTACTAAACTATACATATTTCCATTATTGATATACATTTTAGAATAAAATACACAATAATTATTAGAATAATAGTTAACGTACGTATCTCGATCTTTGTCTTTATGCACTCTGCTTTTATTAAGTTCATACGCAAAATTATTCTTCCCTCACGATCCGTTCAACTCAATCCGATTACCTCCTGAGACAGGCACCAAAATCCGATTAAGCTAGGGAGTTTTTTGAAATGCACCAATTGAGTACCACCAGAGAGAAACCTGAGAGAGGCCATGGCGGCCTTTTTCGCGTGACAGGCGAAGCCGCCGTACGCTAGCGGCACCAACATCATTTTTATAAAATGATGTGAACTACGTAACACATTTTCGACACTGTCGATACACCACGACTTTTTGGTTCGAATCTTCCCTATGTCCATGATTTTTTGGTTCGAATCTTCCCTATGTCCATGTTTATCGAACCGTTAGACAGACAAAGACAGACTATCAATCCGTCGGTGCTTGTTCCACTACAAAGAAGAAAGATTCGCGGCGGGCCGGCGCGTCGACGGTAGACACGAGCCAAGCCAGCAGAGATCTTTCCGCGATTCTTTCTCTCTCTCCCTCTCTCTCTCTCTCTCTCGCCCAGTTTTTCACATATTGCATTATTCGTCAATAATTCGGGAAGAGAAAGACTGACGATTTATGCACAGAATTTGTTGCTCAATGAATTTGTAGCCAAATTTTTCTACACATCATATACTATCAATATTCGAATTTGTTGCTAACTATGACATGAAAAACAATTAGTTTATCCCAATCGTTCCCGCACGCCGTGCATTATAAGATCTTAAATCTTGATAAAAGAATTGGTTGCATGTTGTCGCTATAAAAATATTCCTCGTAATATACACCATCGAAATATGACAACATATAAATTTGTTGCTCACTCTGAAGCGTGAAAAATGATTTGTTTATACGGATCGGCGCCCGTGCCGAGAACTTTATTCTCTTTAAACATTGCTCAGAGAAGTTGTCGTTCGTATATATTTGGTATCGAAATGTTCCTCGTAACATGCACTATCGAAATACGACAATATCTGAATTTGTTGCTCATACTGAAGTGTGAAAAATGATTCGTTTATGCGGTTCGGCGCCCGTGCTGAAAACTTTATTCTCTTTAAACATTGCTCAGAGAAATTGTCGTTCGTATGTATTTGGTATCGAAATGTTCCTCGTAACATGCACTATCGAAATATGACAACATCTGAATTTGTTGCTCACACTGAAGTGTGAAAAATGATTCGTTTATGCGGATCGACGCCCGTGCCGAGTACTTTATTCTCTTAAACATTGCTCATAGTCCAGTCACTTTGGAACAAAAAAGGGCATATAAATGAAGAAATTCCGACCAAGCTATAAATTGCTAAATACCTTCATTTAGGCGAGAGAAATGATGTCTGAAAAGTTCCCAACGTTAGCTTGTACGCTAAGTCTTTTATCGAGCGTACAAGGTTTGAAATTCCGGTTTTTCGCGGTTATCTTCTTTCCTATCAGTTTTACGGCCAAAGTAGGTCTATAATAAAAGAAAGATAATAGAATTCTCTATAAAATTCTCTAATGGTCGTACTTCGTACGACCAATAGTTCTCGAGATAGATTTCTTTTAAGTGACTTCTTATTTTCGAGCGTTACGTAAATTTGTTCTATCTTCGCGAATATCTCAAATTTGGATACATCTACGTGCAAAACGCACATAACAAGATCGAAAGAGTATTTAATTACCTACAAAATGGGTTTTTATTGAGTGTCGTACGATCGCTAGTTCCGGAGATATCATTTTTTAAAGGCATTTTGACTTGTGAATATTTTGAAAATGAGAATGTTTCCTCGTTAGTATATCGGTAATACCTTATATACGGCTACTCCTACGCCAAAAATAGTTATCATCAAAACGAAAGATTATTAAATTCCCTGCATTTTGGTCTTCTAATGGTTTGTATACGGCTAATATATAATTACTGAGATACAGCTGAAAAATCTTTATTATACGTGTTTCTGCGTACATTTTTGTAAATAACTTACTTCTGATTTGTCTGAGGTGAAAAATGTTTAGAAATTATGTGGAAGCTTATAAAATTGTCTTTAAAATGAGATTTTTTTGAACCTCGTCCGATGAATAGTTTCCGAGATACACCCTTTGGAAAATTCCGTAATGTACTGATTTTATGATAAAATCGGACTTTTTGTACAAACAAACATATGTAATGACGATAGAAAAATTAATATCCATATTTTTCTGTTAGTTTACATATATATGTACACGATCCTGTATCGGCGATAGTTTAAAAAATTTAATTTTTGAAAAACAGTTGCTATAAGAATGCTTGTTTTTTGAGCTTTTGGCATAAAAAGGCGATTTGCGATACCTTTTTTGTAAATATTTTAATTTCTGCATGGTACACGTAAAAAATACCTTATATAAAAATTGAAGCTTATAAAATTTCCTACAAAATGGTGGGTTGCTAATTTATACGCGATAAACGTTGACCGACATACCAGACGTTTGAAAACGGGATTTCTTTTTCCTAATTTTGTGCCTTCATTTTCATGGTCGATAATAATAGCAAAAAAAGTTTATTTGCAAAATTTTTAAGACGACGTACGTTTCTGAGCTCATAATATATGATATTTGTTTTTATTTGGCACTTGGACCATATTTTTAGGACAAATAGTATTCGAGATATACTATAGGAAAGTGGATCTGTGAAGCTAGCACGACATTCTATCGATATCAAAAAAATTACAACAGTTCCAGTAGCACTTTTCATAGTTCTACAGTTCTACCTAAAAACAAAAAATAGTTCCGCAGTTTTATTATGAAAAAACTAAAATTGAAAATATGGCGTACAAACTTCGCGAATCTGGCACGTCAGTTTTCCTCTAAAGTACGAGAAAAAAATAAATATTTGCATTTTTAGCAACAGTTCCCCATAGTTCTACTAAAAACCTACTAAGATATGCATTTTCAAAACAAAATAATAACATTTTACAATTTTTATACATCCCATATATAGAAAATGGCATAAAACTTCTAGAAAAAGTGACGTGCTGACTATTTCTATCAGTTTCAACGGTAGTTCTCGTTAGTTCTCACAGAGTTCTATGCATCGCAATCATTTTTAAGCAGAGTTCCGGCCTCTACATAATTTTAATCAATTTTTTAATACCTGAGTCCAGCACGATACTTGTAGAAAAAGTGACGTACTGACTATATGTATCAGTTCTAACGGCAATTCTCGTTAGTTCTCACAGTGTTCTATGTAATATCATATATATAAAAATTTTATGAAACATTAATAAAAGTTCAACACAATTGCAATACTTACTTTTTCAGTAATGATATTACATAGTAATCAACCTTCAACCCACTTCTCATCTAATCCACTGTATTTAACAGACAATAATTAAATATATTAAGAGTAAAAATATACTACATTTGGATTACAAAAGTATAAAAAATGAAGAAGTATTCAATAATGTTATATAAAAATATCTAAATGACATATCTCATGAGTACATACATATATCATAATGTATGGCACTTAATCTGTCTAGTAAAAGCGTGACAGGCCTATCTCAAAGAAAAATGGATTATTAGCCTTAAATTTATATTGATTGTTTTTAGTAGGATTCACGTCACTTTTTCTAGAAGTTTTATGCCATTTTCTATATATGGGATGTATAAAAATTGTAAAATGTTATTATTTTGTTTTGAAAATGCATATCTTAGTAGGTTTTTAGTAGAACTATGGGGAACTGTTGCTAAAAATGCAAATATTTATTTTTTTCTCGTACTTTAGAGGAAAACTGATGTGCCAGATTCGCGAAGTTTGTACGCCATATTTTCAATTTTAGTTTTTTCATAATAAAACTGCGGAACTATTTTTTGTTTTTAGGTAGAACTGTAGAACTATGAAAAGTGCTACTGGAACTGTTGTAATTTTTTTGATATCGATAGAATGTCGTGCTAGCTTCACAGATCCACTTTCCTATAGTATATCTCGAATACTATTTGTCCTAAAAATATGGTCCAAGTGCCAAATAAAAACAAATATCATATATTATGAGCTCAGAAACGTACGTCGTCTTAAAAATTTTGCAAATAAACTTTTTTTGCTATTATTATCGACCATGAAAATGAAGGCACAAAATTAGGAAAAAGAAATCCCGTTTTCAAACGTCTGGTATGTCGGTCAA